GACTCATTGTTGATGCCTAAGGCTCCCGGTCAGTATTAGGTACAAAGACTTCGGAAACAAGTCTCAGCAAACCCATAGAAACGGGGCTCTCACTGTTACATCAGGGGTACAGTGACGGTCAAATATGTCCCTCATTATGAAGCTACCAGCGATGGATGCCGTGTTTCAAGACGAATCGAGGTGCTATATATACAACCTTTGCATAGAGGAGAGGGGAATTGATATATATATAAAACCTCTTTCGCTGTCTCAAGTCGCAGATATGTACCGGAGATCATGATGCGATGCTAGATGATTCAATCGATCGTTTAGGTTGATCATATACGTTCGGACAGAGAAAAGGACGAAACAAAACCCTTAGCATAGCAATTCCAGTCTAGGACGCAGCGGAAGATATATTGCTAGTTGAATACAAGTGTGACGATACGCCAAGAGATATAATAAAACGCGATATTGCAGAAACGATTGGGATTATAGTTCAATCACGATCGATGGTAGGGGGCAGTTTCTGCCGTTGATCGAGCGATCACGAAACCCATCGCTTATCCTCGCTGGAGGTGGAACGAAGATGCGACCACCCACGGCTGTAGAAATTGGATTGAGTTGAATGATGCGGCGACCCTTGCACACCTGATGCGGCATGCCTGATTATATGGAGCTGGGTGATTCAAGTTCTGGGTATTTATCGGCATTTTGTCACTACTCAAAAGATGTACCAGGATGCGCTTTGGAAGACTTGGTCGACCCACGCTGCAAATGTCGGTCAAGGCAGAATTTGGGAGGGTTAATGTCAGCCAAAAAGTGCCGTAAAGTTCAAGTACTTTTGCTTCCCGAATCCCAGCCCGTCGGAGGTCATAAATTACAACAAAAATGCAAGCGATGACCGAGGCACGAGGGACTTACTCCTTACCCCGAACATTTGGCGTGGTAGGTTGAGAATTTTAGTAGGGAAAATTTGGGATCTCCTTTAACCCCAACGTCCCATGATCAACTGTGTGGAAAAAGTGGGTGTTCTTCATCGCTTGCTATGTATAAACCCCGGCACAATGGGACTTAGTTAAGTTTGAGACAATGTGCTTTTCAGGTGAGCTTTCTCAGTTTTCAATTTGAAATCCCCACAGCATTTGTATGTTGAGACAGATATCTTGGCATTTCTCCAACTTGGACCCCATAAGCTCAAGTAGCAGGACTTGGGTTTTCTAAACGTACTGAGCCCAATTGAAATCAACAGGGATTGGGCAAGGTGAAATTTTGGAAAACTGAATTTAGCTGCAACTCCAACAAATGGCCTGGGGGATCCACCACAAATCCAGACTACTTATATCTGCATATGTATAAACAGACAATGTTTTCAAATGGAGTTGACCTGGAAATATGTCAGATCAAAGGAGATCACATGTCTTGAGGACAGGTTGGGATACACAACAACAATTTTTTGATCAAATCAAAAGCAAAAAAAATGGTGGAGTTGCAGGACCTGTGTGGATGGTTGTCTGCTTTGATTGAGTAGCTGTCCAGTTTTATTGAATTGAAGATATGTGAAAATCTAATATATAAATATGTAGAACAGACTCGCATGAGTGTTTGGTCCTCTGTTTGGTTCGTCGGCCAGATGCTACTCATATTTTGCTTTTCCATTTCCCCATTTTTCCCTGTTCATCTTTCCCCCTTCTTTTACTTTTTGTATTTTGCTTTCTATTGTTTCCACTTTGCGATTCCCAAATTTGCTCATTCCCTTTGTTCTACATGTATGCGCTTTTGCAGCCCAAGACGTGCCTTTATTACTTTTACTGCTTTCCATTTCCTTTTTAATTGCTCCATATTGTTTTATACTGGACAGATCAATCCAGATCTGTCCCTTTCTAATACATAACACTGCTTGTAAAACCAAAACCAGATGTACCGGATTGGCCCTGTTCTCTCTACTTGTATAACTCATTTCCTTATGTGTA